TCATGAAGTTTGTCCCAAATTGGTAGAAAATCTTAATTTTTGGCCAATCCCTGTCAGTTCTAATAAATGAAATGACAACCTGATCAGTCTGAACTGGCCTACGGAATTAATTAGGCCTTGACTTAAAGTAAACCACAGGTTGTGAATAAAGGAAAAAAATCTAAAAAAAAAAAAAAAAAAACTTTTACAGAAGCAGGCTTGGTATAGGAGGGCTTATTGTGCTTAGATCCAAGGGTTGAAGTAGCCAGAAAATAACCTTAATGTAAATTTTCTTAGCAAAGGTAACAGTTTTACATTTCATCCTTTTTTTTAATAGGCTGGAGTCAAAGGAAAATTAGGCAGACTCCTGGGCATATTTGAGGTGAGTAACAAAAGTAATCCTTTCAAATAATAGAATTAATGATTCTTTCCTGACCAGCCAAATAATCTGGCAGCAACCTGAGCTAGACATTTCCTCTTAAAACTATCGGTAAGCAAGTAAGTTTATAAGGATTAAGAGGGAGGGAAGTAAAAGTTACTTTCATATTCCATCAATTTATACATTATTACAGTAGTAATTATTTTTATATGACAATACAGTAGAGCTGATACAGAAAGACCTATCTCTTGGTTTACTGATACTGTTTAGTTATAGACTTTTTAGGAGGTACAGTGTCCTTAGTATCACCTAAGGGTTTAGGACTCTTGTGGATACTGTCTGGAAATGGACCCTTAGCCTTTGGCGGAGGGGGTGCGCTCAGGCTACGTGCACTCAGAAGACGGACAGGCAGGTCACGTGGGTGCTCTCTCGTTTGGTTCAACATTTTTAAGCAGGCAACTATAGCTAGCATTTTTTTGCTAAGCAGGTATTTTTTCTACCTGGTAAAATAGAGCTAAAAGCAATGTAGACGTCCCCCAGAATTGTGTAACAGACAATAAGCCTGATCAGTGATGAGTACATAATATGGTGGCCTCGTGTCAGAGCAGTTAGTGATACACCTAGAATGCCCTGCAGGAATGCACAGAGACATCACTCATGCCCTGTAATTCTTTCTCAGATGAATAAGCAAATGGCCTTTATTTGTTTTGTCTTAAGGTTGAGGAAAATGGCACACACACCCATGCACAAAAGCATAGTGGCCTGCTTATCTTCTAACAGTGGCTTATAGATAGAACTTGCTTTTTACTCAGAGGCAGAATAGCATAGATTTGAGTGCTATAAATTGAGCAGCAAGTTAGGGTATAAATGGGAAGCAGATGCTAATGTTCTCACTGGGTCTTGGTGTATAGTTACAAAGGTTTCATAGAGATGGGTCTTGAAGGATGAGCAGCTTCCTGATGGAGGAACACAAGTTGTAGATAGAGGAGACAGCAAGTACCAATGTGTTAGTTGTGTGGATTTGAAGTTCCAGTCAGTCTGTTACAGTACTGGGTAAAAGTAATGAGGATTCTGCAGTTGAAGAGTAACATAGAGAAAAAAATTGTACCTCCTGAGCCATGTGGGGGAAAAAAAGGGCAGAAAGACAGTCCTTTAAGAAGGGTAAATCCTTTATCAGTTCATATGGAAAAGTTCTGTTTTCATTCATGAAGTTTGTCCCAAATTGGTAGAAAATCTTAATTTTTGGCCAATCCCTGTCAGTTCTAATAAATGAAATGACAACCTGATCAGTCTGAACTTGCATATGGAATAAATTAAGCCATGTCTTAAAGCAAACCACAGGTTGTGAATCTTGGCATAGCCAAAAAAAAAAAAAAAAAAAAACTTTTACAGAAGCAGGCTTGGTATAGGAGGGCTTATTGTGCTTAGATCCAAGGGTTGAAGTAGCCAGAAAATAACCTTAATGTAAATTTTCTTAGCAAAGGTAACAGTTTTACATTTCATCCTTTTTTTTAATAGGCTGGAGTCAAAGGAAAATTAGGCAGACTCCTGGGCATATTTGAGGTGAGTAACAAAAGTAATCCTTTCAAATAATAGAATTAATGATTCTTTCCTGACCAGCCAAATAATCTGGCAGCAACCTGAGCTAGACATTTCCTCTTAAAACTATCGGTAAGCAAGTAAGTTTATAAGGATTAAGAGGGAGGGAAGTAAAAGTTACTTTCATATTCCATCAATTTATACATTATTACAGTAGTAATTATTTTTATATGACAATACAGTAGAGCTGATACAGAAAGACCTATCTCTTGGTTTACTGATACTGTTTAGTTATAGACTTTTTAGGAGGTACAGTGTCCTTAGTATCACCTAAGGGTTTAGGACTCTTGTGGATACTGTCTGGAAATGGACCCTTAGCCTTTAGCACATAATATTAGATGATACACAAATAATGATTTTATTATCCCTACAGGACTGTATGAAGGTTTAAAAAAAAAAAAACCCTGATACAAAGAATAGATGCCAAAAGCTTAGAATTCTCTTGTATAATCTGTTATTACTGAAGGCAGAATGGAATTTGTGGAGAGGGAATTTGGAATTGGCAGGTATTCTATGGAAGGTAAGGATCAGGAGAGACAAGCTATTCTCATCTTTTCATCCAAGAGTCAGACAAAAAGATACATAGATACATGGTATACCGACACACTGGCTTTATTTCCCTTCAAGATACTACTAAAGGGTTAGTTTAGTCCTTCTTGTAGAACCATAAACATTTTATTTTTACGGTTTTTTTAAGGGGGTGCCTGGGTGACTCAGTCAGTTAAGCGGCCCACTCTTGATTACGGCTCAGGTCATGGATCTCAGGGACGTTGGGTGCTCAGCAGGGAGGTCTGCTTGGGATTTTTTCTCCTGCCCCTGCCCCCGCTCACACAGCCCTCCCTCTCTCTCCCTCCCCCCCCCAATAAATTTTTTTTAAAAGAAAGAAAAAAGGCTTTCTACAGAATTCAGAAATTGTGCAACACTTGGTAGAATTGATGACTCCTAGAATACTGTGTTAAAAGTAAAGTTCTCAAGTTAATATTCAAACTTTCCCAGAATTCAGCACTTGATTTACCCAATTGAAGAGCACCATCTTCTGGTTAAACTGAAAAATATATTGAGGGTTTTCTGTAATTCAGAGTAGCCATGGTACAAATAGCACATTGTCGATATGCTGACAAGATTTTTGAAGAAAACTTCTCACATCATAAATAAAGCTTCTCTAACACAGGTAGGTAATAGTATTAACTGCATTACAAATGCTATTTAAATTTATTCATAGACTCTGAACATAAAATAGTAAACCAGTGTATCTTTCTCCTTAGAAAATACAAGGGAAAATTAGGATTATCCTGCCTAGTCACCCTGGTGATTTCAGTGAATTTGTGAACACAGCATAATAAATATATTGATTTTCCAGGCATAGAAATAAGACAATAAGTTCTTAATAATGAACAGTAATGTTTTATGTGAGAGATGCCTTTTTTTTTTGTTCCCGTTCCTTCCCAAAGACATAATACACTATTTGAATTGAGTGTATTACTCAGGTGGTTTGTGGCGGAAAAAATTCTGCCAACATAGAGCAAGCAGCTCTTGATCTCAGGGTTTTGAGTTCAAGCCCCAGGTCAGGCATAGAATTTATTATCAGGCAATTATCTGAAGTCCCAGACTACAGTAAGCAAGGCTAACTTTTGAGAGGATGACCCCTTCATTTTAAAACCAACTTGTGTTTAATTTTGTATCTAGAGACAAGACAAGGTGGCAGTTTTTATATGGGTAAAAACTGAGTTTGAGCCCAAAGGACTAAAAGATAATATTCCAGAAATAGACTAACCCATTCTCAACCTTGGCTGTGCATAGTTGACCTGAAAGCTTTTAAACTATCAATACTTAATGTCTCTTAAACACATGCATTGAAATTAAAATGCCATGTTTACTATGGGGAGCTAATTTCATCATTTTACATATTTTGTATTACATAAAATTCACTTCTGTGCTGGGTTATACAACTGGATTATACTTGCCCCTATGTGCTAACCTGTAGTATGCCACAACTGAATTTTTTCCCCTCAAAAATGTGTAATGGCTAGCTCCTGGAGAGTAAAATGCTTTTCTTTTTATATTCAAGCAGAATCAAGACCGAAAGCATAGAACATATGTTTATGTTCTTACTGTCACTGAAATACTCGAAGATTGGGAAGATTCTGTTAATATAGGTAAGTTCCCTTTCCCTTTGCCATCTGGATTCTCTTAATTCAAGTACTTCGTATTTGTATACCATTTTCATCTTAAATTACTTTTGGTTACCTTTTTTAAAGAGGATCAGTATGTCCACATTTGAATTAAATTAAAATTCTTCCCCCAACATATTATTGTCTAAGACAGTCCAGAAAAAATAAAGTTATTATTTGTGGGGGGAGGGGGTGAAGGGCATTGTTAAAGCATATGGCCTACTTTTTAAAATTGACTTTATTGTAATATAGTGACCAGTGTCCTATTTTGTAGGAAGGAAGAGAGAGTGGTTCAAAGTAGAAGATGCCATCAAAGTTCTCCAGTGTCATAAGCCTGTACATGCAGAGTATCTGGAAAAACTAAAGCTGGGTTGTTCTCCAACCAATGGAAATTCCACGGTCCCTTCCCTTCCAGATAACAACACCTTATTTGTGACTGCCGCACAGACCTCTGGGTTGCCATCCAGTATAAGATAGAACTGGGAGGACCTCCCAAGTGCAGTCTTGTGGGGAGAGGTCTCTTTTATTTTCCTTGGCAAACATCTGAATGACTCTTGCAAACTGAATTTGCAATGCAGGATTTTCAAACAATTTGCATGTTTTTCAGATGTTTTCAAATCTTCTCTAAAAAAAAATTGTAAAATATTTTAATAAGCCAAAGCCATGTGGAATTTTTTTTAGATGCCTTAACTCTGCCCCCAACCCATCCCATCCCCATTTTAGTTCATTTTTTTTCACAGCGTTTTGTTCAGTTTTTTGTCCATTTGACATCAGTCTGTGGTTTCTTGTCAGATCAGCTTACTTATGGGTATATCTTCTAAATTATTTTCTCATCACAGCATTAACATAGTCAACAAATTCTGTTGTAGAAATTTACGAAAATAATTCTTGATATTAAATCTATTTGATCTGAAAGCTTGTTTCATAGGATCATAGTTTTAATTTCTAAATTCCAGATTTGGACTATTTCTGTATGGTCCAATAACTATTTTGACAAAGGACTTTTTGCTATTTTCAGGAATTTGTCAACTCATTTGTCCTGAATTTTCACAACTGTATGTCACTAGCTACCTGATATGGCCAGTTACCCCCTATAACTCACTAGTCCTTTAACACAGTTTATATACAGTTGGTGATTTTTAGAGGTATTGTAAGAAAGACGCACGTAGTAAATACATCGTGAAAAACTGTATTTATGGGATTTGAGTTGGCATGCTAAATCGCCAATTCCCTTTATCCATAATCTCTTTACACAGAATCCTGGAGAACCATAATTCTCTCAAGGTAAATTCCTTTTAAAAGATTTATTTCCAGTTTTTGAATTTACTGACCCCTCTTTAGTTAAACTTACTGGTTACCAGTAGTGACCACAGGATTAGAGTCTAACCTCAAATGCTAGTCAGTGGTGACTGCAGTGGCCTTCTTGCTGTTCGGCTGTTCCAGACTTAGATTATTAGGACACCTGAGAATGTCTCATCATCTTTTACACGTTGCCAATAAGTAGTATTTATCCTATAACTAACTATTGGGGCACTGGAACATACCTGAACTAAGAATTATTTTGTCTTGTCTTTATATACTCACTTGGAATCAAGAATCCCATTCAGACACACACAGGTACCTTGTCTGAAACCCCTGTACTTTCCCAAACAACTCAGACAAAAACCTTTGAATAAGACATGCGGTGGGGGGAGAGTGAAAGATCATTCTGTATGTAGGCATTAGCATTGTAAATATTGTAACTGGTGAGTATAGAGTAGAAAATAAGTATAGTTGTACATTCTACAAATTGTTAACCTTTAAAAATATAATGGCTGCTAAATAGAGTGCTGTTACACGTAAGGAAAATCGGTGCCACTGTTTTGAAAAAGATCTTGTGCCATATATGCAGCTGAACTAAATATAATAAATATTAGTTCACAAATTAATGCTGTCAAGAGGAATGAGTAAAGTAGAAAAACTTAACCAATGACATTTCATTCTAAATTATGTAGTATGATCAAACATGATCATCCAGAATTTTTGTATTCTTTGTAGAGGTTATGCATCCTGCGGGTTTTTTAAAAAAGGAAACATTTTAAATCCACAGACTGACACTTTGAATCTTCAGTGGACTTAAGATTTTGTTGTTTCTCAGTAATCTCTTAAGTTTCTTTATATACCTTAACACAGCAGAGAAACTGGATTTTGTATATAATGTCCACCTGAAATGCTGTCACAAGTAGTGGGGGAGGGGGATATCTTGTATATGATATTCTTAGAGGTAATAATGCATGAACTTATTTTATAAACTCTTGGACTATGTATTTGACATGTAAAATATGTACAGTATTGTCAGCCATCTCTTAAAAAGTGAGCCTATAAATATTGTATAATTTCTTTTGGTCAAGAACATTTGGACTAAGTAGTGCCACTCGGGTCAGGATTTTCTTCAGTGCCATTTAGCAAACCAACTGTCTTTAGTCTATGCAACTAGCAAAAATTTGTATGATGCAACAGAATACAGTTGTCACACTTCGAATTTCACACAAGGGATTCTTCACTATTCTTCTGGAACCTAGTCTAGCAAAATTAGAGGAAAGGCCATAAGGAGATTTCTGTTGAGAAAAAGCCTTCATTTTCAGGCTCAACAGTTGAATCTACTATAGATAATAGTGTCTACTATCTCAACCCTCCAAAGTTTACAGAGTGTTGGGACTCATTTCTGCTTTCTGTGGGGTAGATGGATAAAATTGGGCAGCTAAAGTTTTCAGTCCCATGTGCCTCCTAAATATATAGGTTAAGTTGACTTGTAGACACAAAGTAGCAAACTATCCTGAATATTTGTTGTTGGGGGGGGGGTTTGTGTGTGTATGTGTGTATTTTTTAATAAACAAGGTGAAATTTTCTGTCACATGCCATTCAATTTTCTGTCAAACAGTTGTATAAAGCAGCAAAACTGAAAGGGGGGATGATTGTTGTATACACTCTAAATTGCTTTGCATGGTCTCATTTGAGATACTTGGTGTAAGAATCTTGACTTTTTATATTTGGAAACCAAATAAAAATGGAAATTTTTTTTTTACCATAACTGAATATCATCCAAGTGGAAAACTTGTCTGGCATTCCACAGTAAAAATTTACTCCTCTCCCATAGAAGGTCATATACATAATCTCATATACTTATGAGTGTATATATATATTTATACTTTCCACTTATGATCCTTACTAGTGGAATTGACTAGTTGTCCACCAGTAAAGTGTTGCCATTACTCTCCCAAATGGATATTTTCTATTAAATACCAACCAGTCTCATGGTGTCCGTCCCACTATGGCTATATCTTTATTGCTTTCTGCTCCCCAAATGGGTTTTATTTTTAATGATTTTCAAGAACTCTTCTAGACTCTTCTGTAATTACGTACTTTGCTGATAATTACTATCATTTTACTACAGCTGTATTTAAAAGGGTAACTGGCTAGTTACCTTGCCCACCAAAATATTTATTTCCCCAAAATAGTGCTTACCGAAGACCATGAAGAATCCTCACAAAAGTTCCATTCAATCTCATTTAGCTTAAATTGGAGGAAAACAAAAAGCATGGCATTTCCCAGTGCTGTCTTAACACTGGAATACAAGAATTCTCTGCAGGTCCCTTTAAGCTGAACTTTGTAGACAAAGTGACAGGACTAAACACTACTTTTATTGAAACTGGGTTGTAACAGGAATGCTGTCATGTAGTTGATTCTGTCTCAGATAAGTTTCCAGCTAACCCTTTGTTTCATAAATCTCTAATGTGTACCAGAAGCTGCACAATAATCTGCTTTATGCCCAGCATTGTTGCTCATAGTACAGAATAAGTTTCTGCCCACAAGACTGTGATAGTCTAAGGGCACCTGTATGGCTCGGTCAGTTAAGCATGACTTCAGCCCAGGTTGTGATCTCAGGGCCCTGGGATTCCAAGGTGTTACAACTTAAATTTTTTTACAGACTTATATGTACCATCTTCAAAAGCAACATTTTAAAACGTGCCCCTCCCCCCAAATATTTAGCAACATTTTATATGGAGCTGTAGGACAAAAATCAGGTTGAAAAGTCATCTCATCTCGTGCTACTTTCCTCCCTGTTTTTATGTCTTCCTGACTAGTGCCATTGGCTGAATTCTAGCAGTAAGGTGAGAAGACCCTAAAGGCCTCTCTTGGCATTGCATTATAGCAAAGACCCAAACTTATCCAAAGGCTCAATTGTCTTTTTGCCAGAAACCAGTCTTAAATTCCTTTACTTTGGTGTGATTGCAACTAATTATCCCCAAAGTTATTCTTGCCAGTATGTGGAATACTGACTACCTTCTGGACATCACATTTCCTGGTTCTTAAAACACCAACGCCAGTATTGTAACTCTTTTCTCAATTTTTAATCAAATGCATTCCTTAAATGAAATTAAAAGAATACTCTGACCATTAATGTGTATTCAGAACCTTAAAAACATACCTTTTGATCAAAGTATTACACTAGGAATCCCAAACCCTCTCCAGGAATGTGGACAAAGATTTATATACCAAAATTAGGCAACTAAAGTGACGAAATAATATGCGCACACCTAAAGGGGTAATGGTCAACAAATATATCCATGTAAAGATTACACAGACAAATAACATTCAAGTCAGGTAAGGCTCTGTGCATGTAAATCAATATGGCCTTTTGGACAACGACTAAATACTACTTAGCAAAATTTTACAGCTGCACCTCTGGGAATCTAGTCAACTAAAATACTTAAGTTGTACAATCAAAATATGGTTAAAGATGTTTATTGCAGACTTTGTAAAACTGGCATCAATTTAAATGTTGCACCTGGGATTAAATTATGATCAATAGATACGGATACCAAATGTGATGCCACCAAGGGTAAACTTTGAATAACACGTTTTAAAAAGAACTATAGAGTATCACCTACTAAAGGTAACTTTTTAAAAAAGGAACCTGGATTTATTTTCTTTAAAAACCTGTATAATTTTAAAAGTAATATTCCAAGAAATTTTCAGTGTGAAAATGTTCAATAATCTCACGTGAAAAAACTGGGCTTGATAAATGCTCAATCTGTGCATACTATCAAAATATGTATATATTAACAGCAAAGGGGGAAAAAACCTACACCATCTTTGTTACTGTAATAACAGTAATGTATCACTTTTTAAAGGAGCGGGGAGGAGAAACACATTTGGTTCTAATACAAGAGCAGTGAATAATCACAGCCAAGGGGGTGGGTAAGAGCCTACAGGACAAACCTTAGACCCCACCTGTCTTTGTACAGCTCACAAACTTAGAACATTTTTTTTTTTTTTTTACATTTTCAGTGGTTGAAAATATTTTGTGACCTGTGAAAATTAAACTTTTATCATAGCACTACATGTCCAACCATTTGAAATTGTCTATGGATGCTTTCTCACCAACAATGGCAGAGGCAAGTAACTGCTTCTACAACCAAATCAGAAACTGAAACAATTTTATCAAGTCCAGTAGAGGCTTGGCTGTGTAGCACTCTACATCCACATAACTCAAATGCCACACCAATAGGCACAGATGAAATGAGACCAACTGAAGTATGGCAAAGATGTTAACTGGGGAGAGGAAGGAGGACAGGCACTCTTCATGTGAAGTTCTACACCTAAAAGGAAAGACCCGTAGCCCAACTCCTAGTTTTGCTGCCAATGAGAACTTACCCAATTTGTAAAAAAGCTGTACCAAAGCTAACCCTTGGAACAAATCCTCCCAATTTCCAACATCAAGGAGAAATGGAAATTAACACAGGGGGCATATAGTTAAGGAAACAAAGTATCACCAGGCTGGGTGGAAGATTACAGATTTTTATTCTTCATATTTCTTTCAAGTTATTACATTCAACATGTTTTGCTTTTGTGATCATTAAATCATTTAAAAAATAAACCCCTGATATAATTCCTTAAACCTAAGCAGCATGCCAAATAGCTAAATGTTACCCCAGCCCAAAAATAATTATTCCAATGAGATATTACATTTTTCTTAAATAGAATGATGAATTAGCTGCCCTATAATCATGGCATTTAATTGTTTTTTGGCCAGCTTTTCCAGATAAGGCTAACTTTTTTAAAACCTTTGCTACTGCAACTAACAAACAGTGATATGGCTAGAATAGCCCCCCCCAACCAAAAAAAAAAAAAAAAAAGATTCCTGAACCATCAAATAGAAAAATAAAGACAATTTCTCTCATTCCTAGGACACCAACAGTTCCATCTCGCTAATGTTGTATTTATGGTGTCTTGCAGGATACTAGATTTCCTCCAGTACTCTCCTTGAACAGTGCTAAACCACAGCACCTGTGGCTTGTTTAAATAAGTTTGTATTTAAGCTTATTTTTAAATGCTTTCTAAATTTTCTATTAAAGTATGTTCTTGGTCTAGAGCAGGGTTTAAGTTCTACACACTGCGGACCTACGACCTTATGAGGCAGGACCAAGAATAGTAACTAGTGTGGAAACATCAAAACAAAGTATACTACAACAAAACAGAAAATCAAGTAACTTTATAAAGCTCCTGTCAATGCCTCAGATTTCAGAGAAGCTCCTAATGGGCAGAAGAGATTCTCAAGAAGCCACTTACATATTCGGATTCTTTTCCTCTCCCCCAGGGCTTTGCACATGGTGTTCCTCCAGCTTAGCGGTGTTCATCTGGCTGGAATCCAGAAGAGCAGCCCTTCCCAAGTACTTCCTTCCCTTCTCCAAGACAGAGTTGCAACTGCAGTTTGTCTGTGCCCCTCCCCCATTAGGGCCACAGGAAAAGCCGCATGCCAATCTCATTCACTTAATCATCCCCAAGTGGTAGTGTTGGGTACATAGAATACTTTTGTCAAATTCACTGTTCCCTTAAGCTTAGGAGTTACAAAATCAAAGGCCTACAAGGGAAGAGGACTACATAAAGGAGCAAGGGGGCCTGGAAGGGAACTCGAGCCAAGCAGAGTCCCTGAACGAGGAGAGATGCGCGCTTATCTGGAGGCTGCTTCCTCCCGGAAGGTGAAGGGTGCTAGGCACAATCACTGGGCATGGCTGCAGTTGCCAGATCTTCACATCATTCAAGTTACGAGAATTTGGGATTTTTTTGTCATGTGAATCTCCTGATTTTTTAAAATGTTGGCACTGAATTCAGAATGTTTTAACCAACCACACCGTGTGGGCCAAGGAAAAGGCCCAAAAGCCAGAGGTAGCTGCCAGTTTTTGAAATCTATCGTGGCCTCTCCCAGAGCTCCTTTAATCCTAAACAAGTTCAGTCAACAAACTGGCTCATTTCATCCCAATGGTGGTGAAAGAGTCATCAAAACAATGGGGGCTCTTAACAAAATTACAAAGGAAAAAACAGGATGCCATAAAATCAGGAATTCATATATTTGAAACCGAAACAGTGAATTATTCCACTTCAGGACTTCTAGAATTCAAATCAGTAGACATAAGAGTCCTATTCTAGACATATTTTGTGGTACAATGAATTTAAATCTGGAATTTTAGGACTTATAAATCACTATGTGATACTAGCTATCATCACGAGTACTGCCACCTGCACTAAATAAAGCTCATCTCTACAGAACTGCTTGTGTTCATTTTGGCCCCAGAATGCAATTCAGTTTCCTTAATTGCAAAACACCCTCTACAGCACAAGAATTGTTATAAATGTCAACTGCTCTTAAGAGCTTTAAATTTACAACGTTAAGGTTACGAACAATTTTATTCTGAATTAAACTAACATTTGTTTCCAAGCAATGCATTTATTTGGAAGGATACCAGTTACCAGTCATCAAAAACTTTCGTATGTTGAAAATGTAATTTTAATAGATAATTCTTCATCTTACATAGGAGCACAGTAAAATACACCACATTCTGAAGAAACTCCAGAAGTTATGAGAATCAAGAGTGGGGGAAATTCAGACGGGCTACAATATCCATTACCTTAAATTGCGAGAGACAAAGGTTCCAACCTGCGGGTTAACATTTACATACTCAGGACTGGCTACACTGATGACTTACAAAGAACAAGGATAGGGAATTCGATATGGAGAAGGGTGGGAAAGAAGTTTTTTGAGGGGAGGAACTCTGTCAATGCAGAAAAAAATTACTGAATATCAAACAATAGGAGCTCCCATAGCAAATACTGAAGGATAAAAGAATCATTAACTGAGGATCTGATACTCTCAAAGGAAGAAACCTTTCAGATGACACTTACGCAAGCTGGCTGCTTGAGATCTGCTCATGAGGTCTATAAGGAAGCCTCATAAATGCCTCAGCAACCCCAAATGATTATCAGATTGGTGTTTCCTAGTAGCACATACCAGTGGTTACACATGAAGTTTCCAGACAAGAACTAAGAAAAAGGTCATATCCCAAATGCCAGACACAAACAAATGTGGCACAACGTGTGAGTCCTACACAGTCAGTCACAACTGCTGCTTTGCTGTGACTCTACTGTACAGTAAGTTTCAAACATCATGGCAAGACACCTATGATCATCTAATCAGACAACACAAACACATTTATTCAAATTTCTAGGAGGTAAAAAAAATATCAAATACCAATGCTTTATGCATGCTCAGGGCCAGCTTATAAATACTCCGTTCAGTGACATCTTAACACAAGTTTGCATCAGCGAAAAGAAACTGGCAAAATCCACCTCCTGCCGGATCAACTTGTCAGATGGTGAAGACCAAAAGAGAATGTTCCATCAGTTTTAATTTTTAAATACGATTGTCACATTGGGAAAATGAAATAAACACAGTAAAATAAACTGTACAAAGGCAAAGTAGAATAACAAAAAATATTTTACTAAAACATAAGATTTACAGAAGTTTCCAGACAAGCCATACAAAATGGTCACAAGCTTTTTCTTGAAGGAAGGATTCTACACTTGACAGCAAGTCACAATGTTATTAGTGAGGGCTGTGATGTTTGTTTAATGTTCCCATTTTGGTTCAAACAATCAAGCTTGTCCATCTACAGCGTCTAAATAAAGTTAGACTTGGCTAGAGAGCATATTCTAAAGAACTGGTTAGCTGCTTTTAACCAATGCAATTAGATCACCATAAAAAGGGGGAAAGGAGCCCATGAAATTAAAATAAAACTACCTCTCCCCCTCAAAAAAAGTAATAAAGAAAAACACCCACACCCCTGCAGCTAACCCTGACAACTACCTTCATTCACAGTGCTTTATACTCAAACCATGATGGGGAAATGAATAAAAGCAGAGAAGGGCCACTGCTTTTAAACGTTTCACAACAATCCGGATGGTACTTCTAGCCTCTGCTCATGCTTTACAACAGTGAATCAGGACAAGACATAGGTTTGCTAATGTGCATTTAATCACCAAAGGACTGAAGATGTCTGGGCTTTTATTCTGTAATGTTTCTAAGACTGTGTCCATTAAATGCAAACAAAAAAGGAAGAAGTCTTGGCAGAACAGGAGAACAGGAGAACTTGATGATCAGATCGATTTTAAATATTATTCATGGCATATAGCCTAGTCCATGCTCTAGCTGTAGACAAAAACAAACGTGCAATTATTATTTTACTTAGTTCAATACGTTACTCTACAAACTCTGTAAAAATAAAGCAGTATTCTGTTAAATTCATGCCATTTTCTATCACCTGGATCAGACAGAAAGACTGTGTGCATATCTAATTACCAAAACACTACAATGGAATCCAGAAGTTCTACAAAATTCAGCAGGATGAAAAGAGTTGTCTCCTTTTGTCTCCTTCATTTCTAGACTTGCTCTCCACTAATTTTGTTAAAATCTGTAACAAGAAGAATCCTACTGATTTCAAACTCCCTAGCTATAAACTGACATAGTTTTATTGATCAGATGAATTACAAAAGCAGCTCAAAAGAGTTCAAAAGTTTTCTAGTATATTCATATACTGCTAGATGAATGGTACACACCAAATATTTGATAAACCAGGTAGTACAGGTTATACAAGAGTTGAAGAGCTCCCAATTATAGGTTGTCTTTACATCTGGGGGTTATGAAGCAGGCCCTCAGTTGGAACTTAAACATCTGTTGTTAAGAGGTGTTTACATATTAGAAACAGGATCTGACTTATTCCTCTTAATATATTTTTTCTTTTTGTTGAGACTCGAAAAGTTTTTAAAAAAGGTAGTATAGGGCGCCTCAGTGGCTCAGATGGTTAAGCGTCTGCCTTCGGCTTGTGTCATGATCCCAAGGTCCTGGGATCGAGACCCACATTGGGCTCCTGGCTCAGCGGGGAGCCTGCTTCTCCTTCTCCCTCTGCCTCTCCCCCTGCTCATGCTCTCTCTATCTCAAACGAATAAATAAAATTTTTAAAAACAAACAAATAAATAAATAAAAATTATAAAGGTAGTATATATTTGTTTTAAAAAGTGGAAGTGGTGTGAAGGAGAATGGATATTAAATACCTGTTTCTATGGCTTGGGCTTCGTTGGTCTTCCACTGCTCCGCTACATCATTTGCTAATGGATCATCTGGATTGGGAGCACTTAACAAAGCCTGGATCGATAGCAGAACTGTGCGGATCTGCAGTGCTGGGGACCACTTATCTATGAAGGCAACAGGCCCAGAATGACCAGCATGAAACAACAGCCCCAGAACTCCTGCATTGCATTCCCACAGACCTTTGTGGTCTTTATATAAGGCAAGATTACAATGTTCAAATTCCCAATACGGAATGCTTAAGAGAAAAAGGAGAAATCTTAATAGCATATATTAATAAAGGTAACACTTACCTTTCAAAATATCTAAACATATTCTTCCCAACTTGTCTACATTAGGATGATAAATTTTGGTCATGAAACGTACTTTAGGGGCTGCCATCGGGTATTCTTCTGGTAGGAATAGTTCAAGCTTAAAAGTCCCTCCCTCAAAGGGGGAATCCTGGGGGCCAGCAATGACCACATGAAAATAACGGGCGTTGCTCTCATCTGGTTCTGCTTTAATGCCAGGAACTGGTTCTGCCAGCAAACGCTGGGTTTCCTACAACAGAAAAACATGATACATTTATGAAACAAATGTCACTTTGCTAAACACCAAGTTAAAAGACTATTTACATAATCCCAATCACCTGAATGCAACTGCAAGTGAATACGATGACATACACTGCAACTACAAATGTCTGAAAATATGCTGATAATAAAAATTAGGCTAATGAAACTGATTTTATACTAAGGAGAGAAGTGAGGAGAGAGGAGGGGAGAGAGAAGAGAAAAAAGAAAAGAACACTGGGATTATCACATAGGTAAAGGCAACTTACTCTGTTTAAACGCTACCAAAACCTTTAAAAAGTAAAATTAGGGGCGCCTGGCTGGCTCAGTTAGCAGAGCATGCAACTCTTGGTCTTAGTGTTGTGAGTTCCAGCTGCACGTTTGTGGAGATTACTTGAAAATAAAATCTTTGAATTAATTAATTTTTTAAAAAGTAAAATTAGTTCTAAAAATCACTGAAAATCTGAATGTAGGAGGGAGGGCCAAGTGCCTAGGCACCTAAACAGGGCTAGAGAACTATATGCAACCTTGACACCAAACACTTTAATGCTGCTCTCCCACAATCATTAGGTTCTCTTTCCCATCTTTCTCCCTCTCTCCTAAATAACTATAACACTCTTCCCTCTTCAAACCTCCAGTATCTCTATCCTCACCCTCACTTTTGGCTGATGACTCTGCTTTCTATTTCACGAGAAAACAGACATGCTTCCCACTGTAGCATTTGTACACCCACCTTCAACTGTGTACCCATGTGCTTTGCCTGTCCTCCTGTCACTGTGGAGGAAATGGCCATCACTCTTGGCTGAGACTGACCTCTCCTCTAAAGCACTAGATCTCATCTCCTTCTCACCTATCCACGGACATTGCCCTAGCATCGCTTTCGAAACTCTCCTGAATCATCAGTTCCCCCCTTCTTTGGATCTTTCCCCAAACTGTACAAATTTGCTATAATTTCTCCCAGTAAGAGCAGAAAATAACCTTGACCTCACTCTCCCCCCACCCCCACCAGCTAATGCCCCACTGCTTTGCTGCTCTTTCAAAGTAATCTATACTTGATTGTCTCCAATCTTCCTCCTCCCTCCTATCTTGAACACAACTCTCCAATCAGGGTCTATCCACTAACCTGTCTGTTGAGGTCACCAGTGAGTCCCACACAGTTAAATCAAATGGCCAATGTTTAATCTTCATCTTATTTGACCTAAATGTAACATCTTACCCAGCTGGTCTGCCCTCCTTGCCAAACACCACCCAGCTTCCTGTAGCCAAGCTCTCCTGATTCTCTTCTACTTGTCTGGCTGCAACCTCCTTGCTGGTTCCCTCCCTGACTCCCCAACACTGAAGTGCGCCAAGGCTCTGTCCTAGGGCTTATCTACACTCTTCCATAGTGATCCCATATTGTCCAATGAATCTAAATACTAAATACGCCCTGTATATGATGTCTCCCCAAATTCATATCCAGCATAGATCTCTCCCCTAGATCACGCCTCTTTTAACCATAACCACCTGTTCAACAGCTCCTCTTGAGTATCTTAATAAGCATCCCAAACTTTGCATGATTTTCCCCACCTTCAACCTGCTCTTCCCTCAAAGCTTTCTTCACCATCCATCCTTCCAACTGATCAAATCTTTTCCTTCATACCCCACCATATCTAACTTGGTTGGCATATTTTGTTCGCTTGAATTTCAAAATCTACTGGACTGCTTCTTACCACCCTGTGGCTACACTTCTAATCCAAGCCACGATCAGCTCTCGGCTGGCATACTGCAATAGCCTAACTTTGTTCTTCTTGCTGCTGACCTTGTTCCCCACTCCCTCCTTGGTCTGTGTTTCATGGATCTTTCAAAGTCCTTATAATGGCCCCCCAAGAAGAGGCTTTATATGATCCCCTCACTCTGGCTATTCTTAACTCATCTTCAGCTATGTTTCCCCCAATACTCCCACCCTGGCACTTTGCTCCAGCCAGATTAGCGGCTTGGTAATTTTCCAACCCGCCAGGCATACTCCTCCCTCAAAAGCTTTGCCCTCGCTTTTTTTCCCCTGAAATTTCTATCTGGTTTGCTCCCTCAGAGCTCCTAAGATCTTCGTTCAAATGTGTTTTCTCAGTAAGGCCTCAATAATTGAAACTGCAAAAGCCGATTTCCACCCTATCCCACACCCTTACTATCCCTGTTCCCCTAATTTTATCTCCACAGCACTACTAACATATTACATATCTCACTTATTTTGTTCAGAATGGAAGTGCCATAAAAGGAGATTTCTGCCTGTTTTATTTACTGCTATATCCTCAGTGTTTGGAACAGTGCCTGGCACCACAGATGTTCAATAAATACCTGCTAAATTATGAATCTATTTGATGTTACAAAGAAGAAGGAATAAACTATCAGAATTGCATCTTTAACATTAAAGCAGTGTTATTCAAAGCAGGATGTGCACATCACAGGAGGAAAACAAAAGGATCCATTCAGGCATGGGAAGAAATAAATAATCTAACTTCTATTTATAAACTTACTTTTAGCCAAAAAGAGTTAACACTCAATAAAAGAAACTGACAATACCATGTGTAATTTTATATATTAGTAATATATTTTCAACATTTTGAATAGGCATGTACAGTCGAAGTTTTAGAACACTGCTATATCTAAAGTTTCAGATATGAAGAACAATGAGAATACTGTATTTACACTGCCTTCACTTAAGAAAAATCCTACACCAGGGCGCCTGGGTGGCTCAGATGGTTAAGCATCTGCCTTCGGCTCAGGTCATGATCCCAGGGTCCTGGGATCAAGCCCCACATTGGGCTCCTGGCTCAGCAGGGAGCCTGCTTCTCTCCTTCTCCCTCTGCCTCTCCCTGCTCATGCGCTCTATCTCTGTGTCTCAAATGAATAAATAAAATCTTTTTAAAAAAAAAAAGGAAAAGAAAAATCCTACACCTTACACCATTTCATTCTACAGCCTATAGGGCACATACTGAAAGAGATTTCCCCGTCATATACTGAAATAATCATAAGATGCAGATAAAAAATTAAACCCTTTTGCAAACTGTGTTAAACCCACAGCCATTTAAAGTAATGCCTTTAGTACTTTAATTAGAGACTAGTTTTTTTGCTTTGTTTTAATCGTGGCAATGCAAGGGCAAATGAGAAACTGAAATGCTAAACTACTTTCAGCAAAATGTTCTTTAGGTTCAAAGTAAAACATTTTTAGAGCATTAAAAATCCTCAAGAAGAGGGGCACCTGGGTGGCTCAGTTGATCGTCTGCCTTCAGCTTGGGTCATGATCCCAGGGTTCTGGGATCGAGCCCCGCATTGGGCTCCGTCTGCTTCTCCCTCTCTCTCTGCCCCTCCCCGCCCCAGTGTGTGTGTGCTCTCTTGCGCTCAAGCTCTCTCTTCCTCTCTCAAGTAAATAAAATCTCAAAAAAAAAAAAAAAATCTCAAGAGGCAATAATGAAGCCCCCCACTGTGGAAAGTCCTCCAACATGGAATTAGAACAAAAGAGGCCAGGCTTCATTTTTAGCAATCAATCAAGATACTAAGGATCAACAGTAAGAGTAAAGGAATGAGAAAAAAACTAGATGGTAAAATTCCTTGAATTCTGACCTCTCCTCACCTCCATCCTCCTTTTGTTTTGCCCCAGGTCTTCCTATTTTTAGAAATCCATAAGGAGGGAGATTGGGAAAAAAAGGAAAGGCTGGGGTCTAAGAGCCCCAAAATCCCACTCCCTGGTCACACAAAGTAGTAGCAGCTCTATTCAAGGCTATAAAAAGCTGCCAGAAGGGCCTCCAAGATCATATCCCAAAATAGCCTCAAAATTACTCTTAGAACACATTGTCAGAGATTCAGCATTCCTTCCTCATCGTCAGTTCCTCCTCAAAATAAGAGTCTTTCTAAAGAATGTACATATTAAGCATATCACATGGCCTGATCAATTATAAGATTTAATCAGAACACATTCTAGCATAAGCTTTTAAGTGTGGAAAACCTTTTGAAACAGTTTTTATATGCTCTCAAGTTCTCATGGATTTTGATATAATGAACAGATGCATAATTATTTGACTACATGGCACTGATATCCCAAACCCATAACATAAATTATGGGAGGAAAAAAGAATAAAATCCAAACCAAATGGAACAAGTCTCACCCACAGAACTTGGAAGTCAATTTTTTTCCCGAAAAAGGCAAAAGTGGGTAGGAAATAAAATCCTTCCTGCTACTACTCACACATGGTTAACTATGGAACACCTAGTTTTATATTATTCTTCGGTAGAAAGACAGTGAAGTACAGTGTGATTTCTTCAAGTCTAGAAGTAACGGGTTCAAATTCTTACTGCACTGCTTACTTAACTATTACTTTTGAGCAAATAATTTACACTGCTCTGAGTCTCAGGTGACTTATCTGTATCATAATTAAGATTGCCTCTCATGCAGAGTTGCTATGAAGATCGAAATAATACTGCAGAAAGACTTAACAAATGAGATCACATAGGAAGGCCATAGCCATATACAACCAACTCAAAAAGAATTAAGAACAAAGCACAATAACAAATCTTAAAGATTTATTAAATAACAGTATTTGTTTTTAAAGAAAACAGAATAACCATTAGTTTCATTATGATCCTACTTGTTTAAAAGCAATCCTCCGACCCAGTCCCAGGTAGAACTGAGTTTAGGCCATACAGAACAAAAAGCACTACAGACTATTTAGGGAATGAGTTACTAAAAAGCAGAAAAGGAAGTACATAAAAATAGAGTATGAATTTAAGTGGCAATAAGATTAAGTCTCAAGAAAACTATCTCATCTTACAGAGTGAGTGTAATAGTTCATGTTATAAATACCTTAAAATGGAAGTAAATAACATCAAATTGATCTGGTCATCAATACATCTACAAGCAAATTCCAGGATTATACCACAGTAAACTGCAGCACTTGACAGTTTGTCAACTAAATTCCATTAACGAGGTCTTGTCCCACTTTAAAGTGCAGGAACAACTTG